ATTCAATTTTGGCTTCCTGGGACTGAAGATCTACCCAAACCGAGGCATGTTGGTACTCGCGACTGAGCTTCCAACCATCACGCGTCATTTCCCCGAGTGGTTTTCCAAGCGGTTTATCGAATTCTGGGTACCACTCTAGGCATCCGTTATCTAGCCGGTATCCCCAGTTGTAGATGAAGTAGCAGTTCTTCTCGGCCGCAGCCAGAAAGCAGGCGAGTGGAAAGGTCAAACGTTCTTGGGCGGTCTTGCGCTTTTCCGACAATAGTTTTCGCATGGCCTCTTCATCTATGAAGGAAAAGTCAGGCCAGCATTTGAGTACCACAATCTTTCCAGACTTAGCCGCCTGTTGCATGGCAAGCAGGTCCTGGAGCATCGTCTCCTTGGAGGCACTTTGAAAGTGACCAAAGTGCTCAATCATTGCCGCGTCCGCTTCAGGAAAATCGAATCCTATGTGTCTTCCGGGAGTCGAACGAATTCCGTTGAAAACGATCAGCCCATCTTCGCCAATCGAATGACGTGTCTCTTGAACCAGATCTCGAAGTCCCTTTTGGATTGCATCGAATTTCTCGTTGCCCCACAACTTGCGATTCGATGGGCTGGTGATTTGTGGAAAAGCGTCCATGAATATTCCATCACAACTTCCCTCGGCCACGGCTTTCTTGGCGACTCTGGTCCACCAATTCCTCACGTCGTCACTCGAAAGATCGTAACGCATCAAGCGTCCCTTCTTGCGATCAAGTTCATTCTTATTCGTCTTGAGCCACCAGTCTGGATGTCGAGCATAGACTTGGTGGGCGTTATACATCGGGTAGTCGAGAAAAGCATTCCAATAGAAAATGACCTTCATCTTAGGATTGAATGCTTTGAGTTGCTGTGCCTCGGCTTCGATACCTGCTTCGGTACTGCCGTGCGTTTGAGTGGCGTGCCCTTTCTCCAAGCAGACGAAGCTAGATCGCGTTGCGACGAACTCAGCTTCCTCTTGGGTTAGCAAGCCTTGACTTTTTCCGAAGTGGAATGCAATCGGTACCTTTTCCCAACTGAATTCGGGATATCGGGCGTCGTTCGCTTGTCCGATCGATACGACAAGCACCGCATGGATTGCGATTGTGAAAACGAACAACGGCAGGAGTCTAGGCCCATACGACAGGGATGATTTATTATTGGAATTAATCATGGTATATATATTCAGATAGGTAACCGGCGTTTGGCGACTCGATATGCTTGATCAGTTCCGCTTTTGAGACATCGAAGGGGACAATACCAAGCTTCAAGGCTGGAGAATCCGGCTGGAAACGAAAATCAACGTTGGCGGGATCGACAAAAAGGGGATCGACGGACAGGCTATGGGCGTCTATTCCTTCTTGTTTGTCCTTCTTGATAATCTGCTTGCTAAGTTGGGAATCGGCGTCACAGAAGTAAATGTTGTGATCTGTGTTGGCTTGCTTCGCTTGGGCGAGAACGCGTCGGTCCTCGGTCGATTGACTATTTCGTGCTGGTAGCTCGTCGATGAAAGTGCAATCGCCTGACTCAGAAATTCGAGATTCTCGAATCACGTCGCGAGCGCGCTCGATCGTGGCAAACGGACCATCCGACTTCTGCGAATTGGTCGTCGCGATGGTTCCTGACCAACCGTTAGGGCCTTGCGTAGACACATAGTAGTCCGCATCTGTCTCCGCGGCACGACAAAGATGAACCGATAGACATGCGAAGATTAAGACTAACGCATGAAGCTTCATCCTGGGTATTTCTCCGAATGTTGTGACAAGGGATATCGCCGAAACACACGCCTTTCGGTGATGGAGCGACGGCTAGGCCGTCTGTTTTTTTCCACTCAAGCGAATTGACCGCCTCAATACTAACGGTCTCTTCCATCGTATGGACCTAGGCCGTACGTGTTACTACCGGTAGCAGCATGTACCTGCCGTTGAAAAACGGACTGGCCG